AGCTAGTCTATGAAACGGCTGGACCGATTTGGACGGGACTTTCACTGGCAGATAGCTGATGTAATAAAGAGTAGAGAACTTAGGCTACTTTTATTTTAGATTTTTGTTTTATTTCAAATTCCACGCGGACGAAGTCGTGGGCACAGCTAGTTAATAAATATAATACATATTAATAATTATAAAATAAGTTAAGTGTATAATAAAATATATTTTCGTTTACGTCGGTGTATGATTTGATTACGCTAATATTAAGTGATAGATGGTAAAAATCATTGCCTTTAAACACACTTTCAGTATATAAAATAACCTCAAGATAGATAAATTTAGATTTTATAGTTAGTTTTAATAGTGCTAATCTCTGCACTTAAGATGAAACATTAAAATTGGTAGAAAAAATGGACAAAACTTTTTTAGACGCTGCGGGAAACGAACCTACGTCTTGCGGATTCGCACCCAGACGCTTTAACCACTAAGCTGATTGGAACACCGACGAAAGTCTAAACGTAGTGTTTACCCCCATTGTTTTTTTTTCGCAGTTAAGGCAATCAAATTGGGTAACCAATTTGACCCTTTAACAACTCGGCTGATTATAATTACATTTTTCGTTAATAGTAACGTAGGAAATATTACTTTTATTGATCACATCACAAACGTTGTACGAGTGAAAACATTTCACTGTGGGAGAAAACTCACGATTTGGCATTTTTTGTGCTGTCATGTTGCCTGACTCTCCCTTTAACATTTTAGCTGATAAAGTAAACGGAAGACTCTTACAAAACAACAAAAAAAAAACCATTTGATTTTATGATATTAAAAAAAATCATTGTCAATTATCTATTCATATGTTTACACTTCCTACAACTATCAATGTCAAAACTTTGGCCCAAAACAAACTTTTTTGGGCTATATTGAATAATTTTAAATACTTATATTGTTTTATAGGGCCATTGTTAATCTACTTCTCTGTAAAAATTGTGAAAGAATGAGTCTATAAGTCGTTAATTAGGAAGTGTCAACATGACTTTTTTCGATCGTACAAGATTTAAGCGACTAAAGAGTTTATGTGCGGTTTTAGCCGGGTTAGTAGTTAATAGTTGAGATCATACAGAAAATCTTCAGCTTTATCATAAATGTAAGAATAAAAATCATAACATGAACACAAAAGGAAATACTTACACATATTTTTTTAACAGTATTATTTTTTAACAGTATTATTAATTGTACAGAATTGAGTTGTTGCTCGCTGATTTATTTAAAATTGACCTTTAGGTAGCCTTAAAAACAAGGGGCCAATGTTCGCTTAGTCTGACGGATTACGTCTGCGAAACCTTATGATGCGGGATCGATTCCGTAATTTATTGACACCGTCGCGAATCTACTTATTAAGTAAGCTCTAACATATATACATATGTATATATACGCTACCTGGTCCGCAGAAGCCGTGGTGTATTCAGAAAACGCTTAATTCATATAAAATTTACTATCTATAAAATATGTACTGACAAAATTAACTGTAAGATTTAAATGAAATACATGGAGATAAATGAAAGTTATTTTACTGTAATATATTAAAGGATATAATGAAATGTTCGGCCTAAACCTTTTAAATATTTTATATTATGTATGTTAGAGAAAAGCAAAGTAAAGCAAGGTCTTGCATCGTCCAAAACAAAAAAGGAGAGGATAACAAGACAAGCGTTACTATGGTAGGGCCACGTCTATTGTTGTAGGACGACTCAGAGAATTCTGCTGTGGCACAAATGGGCAGGCTCGCGTAAGTGCGTCGTAAAAAGAAAATATTGTCCTATCACATTTCGTCTAGGGCGCGAGGTAACTGGGACCGACGTATTTCAAAGGTGGTAACCCATTTGCAACCTCAGGTGGCAGTAATCACTTAACATACCGATGTTCATCATATCCATCAAAGAAACTGTATCAATTAGTTATTCTCTACTTCATTAAAATCTGTATTTCGATATTTATTTAAATTAAACGTAATAAATATTTATCATTGATGACCTTGGGTATTATTCGTTGTTCAAAACACAGGGTCACATTTCACTCAGACACTTAAATATTCCCTTACAACAAATTATCAAAATCAAAATAATCTTCGGAATTTGAGAGCAAATCAGTCACAGGTGTTCATCGTTAAATACTTTTACTACATTTATTTCTAACCTGTGCGTTGTTTGAAATTGCATTGCTGTCAAAATTTATGAAGTCTCTAACTGGCCTGTCGTACAAACGAGCAAAACCTTTTTTCCTTTCTACCTTTGTTTTGGAAAAACATATTAATGATATAACATTAAAACATTTATACACTTATACATAAAAATTTAACCTCACGTAGTTTTCCTTGTGAGGCAGACGAGAATGTCAAGGGTAAAATTGACAATGTTGTTAAGGGGGCGAGGGGGCGATGAAATTATCATATTGTATTGAGTGTATCTCATTGTCACTTTACCGCCATTAGTAGTAATGACCATGACATATGCCAGCATAGGATAAATTTATACTGATTTTTTTTCTAAGTTATTTTTATAAAAATGCAACTAGGTTTTCGAGAGTTCATGTATCTAGCTATATTTTTGTTTTTATTCACTTGACTTTTACCTCTCTAATTGAAATGCGTTTTAGTGTATTTTTTAGTGATTGTTACCATTAAGTTAATATACACAAAGATGACATGTAACATATTTTATAGTTTTATTTCAAATGTAAATTCTCTAAATTATTTCAGTTGGTGATAATTAGATAGCTGTGTAGCTCAATGTCCGGCCGCTTGCTTTTAATTTAATATACTTGAGCTACCTGAATCCAATTCCCGGAGTCGGCACGAATGATACTGTAAATTCAATACTAAGTGCCGACTTATAACGTGATCAGCGGTGAATGAAAACATAGTGGGGAAACCTACATATTTTCGAAGTAATACCAAAAAATATTTCAAAAATACGTGAAATCTGTCAATCTACTGTTTACTTTTAATTTTTTCAGCCATAAAAAAATGGTACATAATAAGGTACCATTTTTTTTTAAAACATTAGTTTGTTCATTTGTATGGGATAACTTTACTGTGTAAATAAAATTTTGAAATTTCGTATACCCTTGCGAAAACCATGGATTTTCCGAATACAATCCATACATTTATAGCGATTGGATTAACATTATGCCTTGAACTGGGTATTTGAACTAGCTATTACCAATGTTTTATGTGTGTTTTGTAAATATGTCTCATGCAATGTGCTGCAAATTTATAAACTTAACTATTTAAAATGATATTAAACATGTCACGTGAGTCATTAAAGGAAACGTTTGTTTCTTACTTACATAACGTATCTACTACAACACTTACAGATCTTAGACTTAAGGTCGATTAGACTGTATGAAGTTAATAAAATAATTTATTATTGTTATATCCTTTCACTTAATACATTAAGCATTAAACTCTCAGAGCCATTTCCATCTAAGAGTCGAAGATCGATCTTAGAGTAAAGTTTTCAATAAATAAAACTAGATAAAACATTAAAGTTTGTAGAAAAAAGAACGAAAAGTTTTTCGCCGCTGCGGGAATCAAACCCACGTCTTCCGGATTTGCACCCTGACGTTTTAACAACTAAGCTAAACGCCCCATTGCCACACCGGCGAAAATCTCAACGCCGTTTACGAGTATCTACATTGTAACGCTTAGCGCATCTACTATATCGTTTACACTTTACAGCATACAAACAATTTCAAATATCGTTTTACAACGATATTTCGAAAGGGAGATATCGCCATTGCTATATGAAATTTGTAATTTTATCTACACTTCATATGAAATATTAAAATTTGTAGAGAAGTGTAAACTTAAATTTTGCTCTGATGACTAACGAGTCGCATAGACGTCAAAAGTTTAATTTCTCTAAGATATTTTCAGTGGAGATAGACTTTTTAATTTCTGGACTGCCTTTTCCGTGTACGTTGAGAGAAATAACAACAGAAGTTGTGTAATTTTATATTATACCCTGTTTTTATATGACGTGTAACGACGAAAATATTTTGATAATTAAAATTACTCAGTTAAACTTTTAAAGAAAATAAATCTGTTTGTATTGCGACACGATCTCATTGATATTTGTGTCAGCAAGGCGGTCGTAATCACTGTTAAGAGTAAATTGATCGTGATAAGAAATGAAAGCCCGTTACGAACGATTACGCAATGAACAATTTCAAGCCGTTGCTTATGGAAAAGTCAATTACATCATTCACCGCTGAGATTATGTGTTCAACTGTCTTTTGAAAATGGCGACAGTGATTTACTCAGTTACCACAGTGTTTACCAAATAGATATTACGTCGGTCTAAATCAGAAGCGACAAACTTTTTCCTTTACCACAACATCTTCAGAATAAAAAATATTCTTATTAGTTACATGTTTACATTGTTACAATACGATTAGATACATGTTTTTTTTTATGTGACAAAGTAGCAAACGAGCTGGTGGTTCACCTGATGTTAAGTGATAACCGCCGCCCATGGACATTTGCAACACCCGTAGGGTTGCAGAAGCGTTGCCACCTTTAGATAAAGTGGGCCCCGGCTACCTCACTCACCAGACGAAACGCAGAAGTGTACCACTTCTACTATACGCCGGTCTTCTGTGAGGTCGGTACTTACCCGGACGCCCATTCGTGCATCAATGAACACCATTGCGTGACCACAGGTTGCAGTGACCGGATTCATTAACTTCACGGTATTACCATGGCAACCAATAACAACTTTTTGACATTTAACTATGATTCCAAGTTATTTAATTAAATAGTTATCGATTTGCATTTTGTCTTTTTCATTAAAAAAAAAAAAGAGTATTGGCAAGGGGATAAAGTTTTTAGTTATTTTGCTTTTGTTGCACTAACAACTTTTGACGTGCTTACATATACACATACTTTTATATAATGTAAAAGTACTGTCGACCTTTCCCTTCTTCACAGTTCTTATACAGGCTTGTCTGTTTAGTGTCCCTTCGAGCTTCAGAAGATTTTAGAAGGGGGCGTTGAGAACGTAATGGTGATGAGCACTGCTCGTCGTGCAACCTTGAGGGTCTACGAGGAAATAGGAGAACAATACATGAGTGCTGGAAACACCACGTAAGTAACTCTTTTCCACTTTCATATTACAAATACCATAAAGTTAAGTAATTTACTAAATGATCCCTAGACACTGTGAGAAAATCGATTTGAGACATTTTAGTACTCACAAATTTGACGGATAACAGTATGAAACGTTCTCCAAAAGTCCATTTTCAAGACTATATCTAACTATATATGTGTATATTTTTGTCAGAATGTAGTAGCGGGCAGGCGGTTTTCCTGATATTAAGTGATTACCGCCGCCCATGATCATCTTCAACCACTGGAAAAGAGTGGCTATCTCAAACACCATAGAAACGCAAAAGTATAATACTCCTACTTGGCCAGTTTTCGTCAGGCCCGGCGGCAAATCAAATAACGATCTCAAGATACTTCTAGATTTTCCTGTCATTGTGGAAAATTACGCTATTGGATAATAAATTATTAATGTACAAACGATAACAGTCACGATTTTCCTTAACTTTATTAAGGCCATTCGAAATTTATTTCAAACAATGTCGGTCAAGTATTCGCGAGAGGATTGCAAAATAAAAATCCTTACCTCGACTCCAGGTAATAAGGTATGAAGAAAATTTCCTTAACGAATGTACATTCACATAACGACTCAAATAAATTAAATAATGTTGTCCTCACGTCCAACGAAAGTAAAAGTATCACGGGCGTGTTTTATTTTAGGAAATTTTACGCTTCCGTTGACGCGACGATGTACCCGTTAGTGCGAATATAAATTATATTTTTTTGCAAATTGTGATTGACAATGGTCACGCAATCACTGCTGACGTTTTTGTACACTTAAATGATAAATTGACATTTTCTATGTAATTAAGGAATCGTTTCACATCATATATGCTGAAGTTAAGTCATAACTTCAGCTAATATTTTTTAATAGCCTTTATTTAATTTACAGTCTGCTTGCCATAATTCGATGTTTAAAACTCAATATAACTATATTATTGATAGTTCTTATTACTGTTATATTTATTATCAACGAGGATTATTTTTTAAGGGAATAGGTATACGTCCAACAATTAAAAGTAAGGTACCATCATGTAGGTAATAAAAGTTCAGACTTGCGTCTTACTTTTGTTTTTATTATTGCATGTTATGGACGAACCGGAAACAAAATTTATATTCTTTATGTATCGGAGAAGACATTTAAACCAGTGAGGATGGCGATTAATGGGGATCGAGTTGCTAATCTAATGAACCGATCAAGTAGATAGGTTACACGTATAGGTTTTCTATTTTGCAATAGTACTTCCACACCATTCTTGCTACAGCAGAAGCCACTGCGTTGCTTCATTACAGTTATGATATAGTATATAGTTTTCAAACACGTAGCAAGATTATCTTATGGAGTGCCTTTCTAACCCCGCAACATGTGCACCTATGAAGATATGAACCCTTTCGCAGAGGCCTGATCTGCCAGTTGCGCCCCAATCTGGGCCAGTTCGGCGTCTACACGTTGAACGCGAGCGGAGGCGGTTGCGACGTGCGCACAGACAAGGAGCCAGTCAACATTTACCTGCGTGAGTCGAATAGCAATAACGAATAAGTCCAATAACCGGCTCATCACTTGGCCGAATGTCTGATTCGAGTCATCTTTTAAAATGTGCTTTCACAATTTCAATCACAAACCACTCATTAAACCGTCTAGCAAAATGTGTTTTGGAGTTCCTTATGTAGGCAGGATTGAGAAAGAATTTATGTAAATTTGGCGTATGTTACTTGATGTTAATAGCATTTTTACTAATAAAAAGAACAAAACCGACTACTTACTCACTATACATATTCTATTTGACTTTTGAACTTAATTAATATAGGAACGACTGTTGTGCTCTATGGCGCCATGCTAATCTATTGGTTTTGGTGTCGAGGGTCTTGGGTTCGATTCCCACAGGGGACAAGTATTTGTGTGATAATTATTCAGGATCTGGGTGTTTGTTGCCCAAGGAGGATTGATGGCAGGGGCCGGTCGTAAAAACATAGCCAAAAACCATTTACAACATGATTCACGTGCAGTGCCGCCGACCCCACCTAGGTGGGATAAGGGCAGGAGGATGATGAGGATTTGGTGTGATAAAAAGATTACATGTTACTCGTAAATACTTTAGAACGTAATTAGCGAGTCGGTAGTTCACTTGATGTTAAATGAATAACCACCCGCGGTTCATCTTCGTTGATGCATTGCAGACCTTTGAAAGGTTGATATAAAATATTAAACCACAGTGTTTTTAGATGTAAAATAATTATTTATATAATGATTTTGATCTTTCTTTATCTTAATCGACTTAAATTCACTTTCACATGTAAATTAATTGATGCGCGATTTCATTCAAATGTAAGAAGCAATTTGATTTTTTAAAATTTGTTAGCAACCTCCATACAGCGTGCAATTTATCTATAAACCATTGACATACAATATTATCGAGCTGTCCTTGTACCCTTAAGAGTTGACGCTATCTTTGAACATTATCTCAGCAATTTTGCTTTTAGATTAGCTATCTTAACACTCGACTGGTCTGCTGATGTTATGAGAAATTTTTTGAAGGCTCTTTGGTCGTGGATATAAATTATTGGTCGAAGCACTTTGAAGTCGTTGGTCTCATATATATATTTCAACTTTTCATTTAACCTTGATGTTATTTGGCATATAAACCATTTTTTTCTAGTGATTAACAATATTTGTATCGAGTTAACCTAATTAACAATAATCCAAATGTTACATTTAATGGTAAATAATTTTTGTATCTTTTTTCCTTTCTATTTCTTTCATTTTTCAAACATTTTCATATATATTTTTATATCTGCCTTTAAGACGTGTACACGTATTTATAGTTGATAGTACTGTGCAAATAATGTTGTTTTTAATTTTCCCTGGTGAAATGACCTCTGAGCAAATCCTAAGTTGGCTTTAAAGCTGGTCGTCGTAAATGTGTAAGGTTAGCCGGCAGTAATATCAAGATTCCTCTATCCTGTTCCATGGGAGTCTTATTGGAAACACGTTCCCTCAACAAAACGCGAGAACTCAAACAAGTTATATCTGTTCCCTCTATGGTAATGATTTGAAACTCACTCAAGGCGGCGCAGGTAATTTGCCGTTGCGTAAAATTGGAATCAATGAGGAGGTTTGCCTCGATGACCTCTTTTTGTGCTTTACGAGATGGCTGACTGCGTTTAAGTTAGTAACCTGCGTGGGATTATGAATATATTACACTTTTGGTTTTCCCTTCCTCGAAGTGACCGTATTTGGCGGCTTCATTCGGCCATTGTGAATACGCAAATAATAAGGCATTAACATATTCTTCTGTACGTGTGTGTCACTGAACTCCTCTTAAACAGCTGGGCCGATTTTAATGAAATTATTTGTTTCTTCAGGACGATTCGAGAATGGTTTAGATTCAATTTTTTTAAGTTATCGGATTTTAGTCATGTGTACTGAGACTAAAGTACGTTTAGTGAAAATCTGTTGAAAAACTTCAGTAGTGTAGTATAGATTTAAAATGTTGTGAACATACGATTTCCCACCATAATACGCGGTAATAGAAACAGAGTTAAAAGTAGTACCCAGGTGAAAAGCAAATAAGTAACGCGCCAAAGAACTGCGAAAATTTCCATTGACTTTGTCTGTCATTTTGAGTGAAAGTTTTTAATAATTCACATAAATAGAAGACAAACTGATGTAAATTATTGAATTCATTATACTTACATACTTTGTGGTTATTACATCACCTTGAGGTTAGATATCTAGAGATGTTTGGAATTTTCGTAAAGTATCTCAAATCGCATTTCAAAAGTAATTTGCAAAACACTAATAAAGTCCGTTGTTTGCCAAGTTACTTTATAAAACAATAAGTAGAATTTAAGCGGTTGCAAGATATGATTCATATAGATATAAAAGTTTTTAATGAATGATAAAGATTCTCGCGGGAAGTAGAAGTATTAATATATTTTTTTTTTTCGCTTGGTGTGGCACCTCCATAGGTTTTTCACAACCAACCACCTGCCTCACATCAACCTTGACAACCAGATTCGAAACAAAGATACATCATCTTACGGACCGAAGTCGATAGTTAACAAGTGCGCCACCGAGCCCGTAGTCCATATGGTAATAAAGTACAGCATGGTTTTGTATTGTAATGTAACCTGTCGCTGACTGAGCCACTCATCAGACCGGCGCCTGTTTATATATATAAATTTGTATATGTAAATTTCAATAATACAGATAAAACGAGAAGTGTAACTTTTTGCAATCGAATCCAAATTGCCCGTTAGACAGTGTGCATGGTCTCGTAAAAGCATCCTGTAAGCGACAATAACCAGTTCATATATTGCAATGGAACAGATCAGTATAGAACTGATCAGACGGCCGGTGGGCGGCACAAGTCGTTGCCCCAAATCCTTTGTTCATTGAAGACATTGTCTTGATGAACATCATCCGTTAGCATCGCACACGGACCGTTTTAGCTCTTGAATCAGTGATTGTCCCATTTAAGATGGCGACTGATAGATTCCCACTTGCAAAGCTAAAAATTACACTGCCATGTTTTTAAAAGTCAGTGATTCTGATATTTATTTCTCTATCGGATGAGTGATGAGGGGCATCACCAGAAAATAATTATAAGCCCTCATTGGAAATAACATGTCTGTTCCTTCATATGTTTCGATCTTTTTCTCGGTCTCTGTAGGCCAGTGACAGTGAGAGTAGTTTTTGCCTGTACCTTTTGCGTCATCGCAAAATCAGAAACTAGACTCACGGTCAGAAACTAGACGTCTCAGTCAGTTTTTGATTGACTGTTTCGGCCAAATCCACACAAACTATTTTGAACACTTTTTTCGCATAAATAGTACATAACGTGTCAATGTTAAAGAAGTTTAGTAATGTGGGTTGATCTGTTCGCTAATCATGTTCAATATAAATGTATTTCTTCAAATAAAATAGCAAAATGACGTATAAAAAGTAAAACATAAAATTAAACAGAGTATTAATTCTTCAGTATATTTCCTTTAAAAAATATTGAAGGCCGGAGTGCTAATACGATTTCTGTGCCCTGAGGGTGGTGTTAACTGTATATCTATGTAGGACAAGGTTGAACCAACAGTGTGATGGACATTGCAATAACACTAACTTCTAAAACTTTATTTTAACTTTATATTATTTCCCCTTAATCGTCTCGAAAAGTTTGAAGGGAATGTAAATTTTTACTTTTAGTAAATGGTATGTGTTATTGATTACACCACTCTTGAAATTTTCCCAGAAATTACGTTAAAATAATTTACACTCTTCTAAAAGTACTAATGAATTGAGAAATAAACTAATTAAGTCGCTGTTAGACTTAAATTTCGCATTCTCGCGCAAGTTTGTTCAGCTTGCCGTAGAAAGAGTAGAATAGATCCCAGAAGGCCATCCTGCTGTTTAGAATCCTGTGCTCCAGCTTAATGTCCGTGTCGATCACCAAATAAGGCCGGGAGTCAACGGTGACCGGTTCCCAGGCAACAGGTATCAGGTCGGTGGTCTGTGGCGTGGGATTCCTGAAAACATTTTAATGTTAGAAAATCAAGAGGACGTGTGCGGTGAAACTGGTTTTGGCTTTGAGTCACACCCTTAAAAGTTTGATTATTATTGATCAAATAAAACATAAATCACGTAGTAATAAAAGGCAGTGGCATAACTTTTGTGTTATTCTCATGTTTAAAAAGTAATTTAGCAAAACTATTTTATTGAAGGACATATGAAAAGTAAGATTAGTGACGGTCTGAATGTTTTGGCACATGAAGCTCATTCTGATTGAACAGTGTATGTCGATTAATGAAACACATCTCACCCATATTTGACAAAGTTCGCCCACAACGTAGTAATTCGGTTGATAATCAACTGATCATTTTCATCGACATCGTTACTCGCGTTCGAATCCGGAAATAGATAATCGATTTCGGCAGAATGCGAGGCAACGCCGTCCTCAGCGTTACCGACGTAACTGAACTCGTATAAATAAACGGGATAAGCGTTTTCGTTTAATAAGTTCGTTATCGTTCTTTGTGTCGGATGGTTTTGGACGAAGTCTGATTCGAAATCTTCTAGTTCCGACGCAACGTCTGCGGACACCGGTCTGTCGCCGATGTAGAAGTGTTTCACTATGCTCGCAGCCTCAACGAGCTGGTCTTCATTAAGATTGAAATTGTTGCTGAGCTTCTCATAAAACGGATCGTTTTTATAATAGCTATCGCCGTAGTTTTTCACCGTGCCGTGTTCTTCCTTACTAGTGTGACCGATTAGTACTGGTGTGTTCCTAATCTTCCTCTCATTAGATAGGGAGAATGGATCGGATTCTACGAAGTTCTCTACGCTGCTAAAAGACTTTTCCTTGCACGGCCCTAATCTCAGACCGATATCAGCAGCCGCCGCCGTGACTAGATGTGGCGAGGAGCTTGTGAGGAACGTGAGAGCTTCCTGGGTGTCAGATGTATTCAATCCGAGATGTTCGGCCAGTTTTAGTGCAGCATCTGCGTCTCCATTCACGAACATACCCTCGCTCTGTGGAGTGCCACTTTCTACAATAGCTTTGTTGAACAATTTCTCTTTGTCTGAATACAAGTGCAGCAGAACTGAACTCGCCCCGGCGTCTTGTCCACCGATAGTAACGTTGTATGGGTTGCCTCCGAACGCACCGATATTCCTTCTTATCCAACGTAAAGCAGTGTACTGGTCTTTAAGCCCTTGGTTGCCTGGGGCAGATGGGTCATCGAGGCACATGAACCCGTATGGTCCAAGCCTGTAATTTATGGTGACCACAATGATTCCTTGTTTGACCAAATCGTGTGCGTCATATTCTCCCCCGCTGCCTTTAGCGTACTGCCCACCGTGTATCCACACCAAGACGGGGAGGGGATTCTTCATACCAGCTGCTATGGGAACGTAGATGTTAAGATAGAGACAGTCCAATTGACCGACTTCTCTTTTCGATCCCCTTGAAGAGGATGCTTCTGATTGTGGACATTTGACTGATCCATCATAAGCATCAAATATTTCCTCCTCGAACTCTGAAGGTGATTGAGATGGCTAAAAGAAATTAAATTTTTAGACTAAGACAATTTAAAGCATCGTTTTAATTTTATAATTCTTCGTAACATACGACCAGAACTAAGGGCAAACTGCTTAATCTATTTTTTTTATGGGTCCTAGTTCGATTCAAACGTGATATATGATAAGCTGTCGCTGCGCACAGAGAAAAATCGAAAAAAGACAACGGTGCGCGCCACTGTATTGTAGACCAAATACTTTATACTTTACATAAAAAGCCATCTTGACTTCATCTCATCTATATCTATAGTTTCATCATCTCATCTATATATCTAAATAAATTTGTTCGTTGAAACATAATAAGAGGTGTTCATTTGTGGTCAGAATAATGTTAATTTAAAACACGCTTTTTTTTTTTAAATGCACATCACATGACCTGAGAATGAGAAGACAAAACCTGAATACATTACGATTGTTGCACTTACACCGAAAGGGTTACTCCCGTCCACCTTTGCGTAAGGTATTCCGAGGAATGACGAATAAACATTATCTTGCGACTTCTGCCCTCGGACCAGACCCTGTTCTATCAGAACCAGGGGGTCAACTCGAAAATTCGCACTGTTAACATAGTTTGCAACACAAAAAATACAAAGTAACCAAAGAAATTTCATTTTGAAATTTCTGTAAAGTACTTTGTGGAAGGAGGTCAGACGAATCGCCAATCACTTTCGATTTTTCTTCGCGACTGTCGTGTCCTGAGTATATCGTTCAAGAAAATTTGTCATATGGAATCTTTTATCTGAATGGGATGGATTTTCGTGTCTCTTATCTGTCAATAGAGTAATGTGTCGCATATTATCTCAAGGGATATATCGTACATTTGACAGCTGCATGTAGATATATATCCAAATGTTCAAACCTAAGTACAAAAGTTCTGGGTATAGAGAAATTTAAAGCCAAAATGACAAACGACCATTTTTTAATATTTAAAAAGATCTTCACGTTACAACAAGCATATTCACATACTTTTATCTTTGATATTTAATCACGAAAGTATGAACATTTTCTTCTATCTTATTACCGTGACACTTGGCTCGGTTATCTCTTGTAAACTTTTAGGAAAATCCGACAAGAAAACTTGACCACGCATAAAATTTGTGACAACTTGCGTATTTTTTTCATTTTACGGTGAAAAATAAACCAATTCTGATCTGAACACATCCAGATAAGGTTTTCGACCAACTTTTCATATTCAATAATGATTTTTCACCTTGATAATTACTCGTAAGTTTCATCAAAAAATCATATTTTAACAAAATTTGACATTGGAGTTTTAGGCACTTGGTATTAAAAAACCGGCCAAGTGCGAGGCGAGTCGGACTCGCGCACGTAGGGGTCTGTACCATTATCTATAAAAACCATATCTATAAACGGAAAAAAATCATGGCTGTTGTATGGGAGCCCCACTTAAATATTTTTCTATTATGATTTTTAGTATTTGTTATAGATGCAACATAAATACATCATCGTGTATATGTGACGTGTTGACGTGCATTATCGTGCATTAAAATGGCACAACAGGTTCTAGAAGGATCTTCTCAATGTATTGAGTTGCAGTTAACGTTTTATTAACGATAACCAATTTCGTTCCAACATCTAATGCCACCGCATATCATTATAGAGCATCCACCAAAACTCACTGTTGGAGTGGTAGTAATCGTTAGATACCGTTCGCCTTAATTCACCACACACTTTATCTGGTTCCATCAGGAGTAGGCAATGCGATTCCTGCACTCGTCTGTAAACTCTCGCCCATTGCTCATGAGACCAGTTAGCTTGTTTGCAGGCAAACTGAAGTGGAGCTAGGCTAGCTTCGGGATTTTCAATTAATTTCTTCTGTAGATTTGTAACCGCTGACGGATCTCGACGGGCGCGATAAGGAAGCGATTTCTTAAACTTTCTAAAGCGATCGTCACGAGCTGATGTGCAACGTACAGCTCTACTACCTGGTCTGCGGGTGTAGTGACCAGCCTCTTGATACCGTCTTAGAGCATATTGCACCGAAGAACAGGATACGTAACACATGGTATAAAATAATAATGAAACATTAAATATTTTGTACGACTTTGAAAAAATACTGTCAATTCTTTACATGCGCGTGCAATATTGCCATGGCTGTTGAAATAGGTGATGCGTTAAATGTTAAACTGATTGACATTTGACATATATCGGTTTTTTATACGATGTTAGTTGCGTATCCTCAAATGATGTTTGCCACTCGGAGTTATATAACTGAACTAAAATGCGATCACCTAACGCAACATTATTTTGTAGCTTATTTTTAACAATATCGATTATGAGTTTTGATGACTAACGATCTAAAACGAGTTATGGTCCATTCATGTGTTGAGACGAAATTTTAAAACGTAAAGCAACGATTTTGATTCAATGTAGCAAATCGTCAAAATTATCACTACCTAAGATTAAACGGCAAACAGATAATCATATGACGTTTTATGATAACATATTATCTAACAAATAGAACAAAGGTTTTCAAATATTTTGTTGTAAAATGTAATAATAATTATGAAAATGTGGTCGTTTGCTGTAAAGGAAATACACTAGATGCCGTCAAACATTGCTTAAAATGATAAACCGTTCAGCTCAGTGGCTAGAGCGTCATGCGCGTATTCCGGAGGACACAGGTTGAAATCCTCACTAGCGAAAATCTTTTCGTCCATTTTTCAAATTTTTTAAAAAAAGTGGCATTTCAAAGTTGGCTTCCCTGACGCAACGTCAACTCGTCATTGGGATATATAACTGCGGTATAAAAAATATAAAGAATGCCTGCTATATCTTAAAATGTTTTGCGGATTTCCACAAGGAGCGCTATTCGTTTCGCTGTTTTATATGGCTTAAAAAATATAAAATTTATTTGTTCTTTCTAGCTCTGCTTGTTCTCACCGGTGTGCTTCTTGCAATATGGGTGTTATATGGCCTGGGAAAACTGATTATGTCACGGATCAGACGGTCTGGGAAACTGCGCTACGGTGACAAGGAGCTGGCAATACAACAGCGACTCCGTGCCCTCGACACTTTCAGAGGGTGAGTGACACAATAATGTAAGCACGTAGTATTTTTAGTTTTTTAAACAACCAGCCAGCTTCCAACTACACAACGTAATATTTGCGAAAGTTCTTCATGTTAATTAGTTACAATTAGGGCCGCAGACGGTAAAAGATTACTTTTAATGGCTTGCTAATCTGGCATATCACGTCCATTAGATGCTGGTAAAGAAATCAGTTCGAAAGACTAAAATATTGACCAGAGCTGAGACAGACAAATAACTCATACATTATTTGCATATGCTGTGTAATTGTATATCTGCAAACAATTTTTGACAATTTTTAACAAGATACAACGAACCGGTTACCGGTTAATGCAAGAAATAAAACTGGATCAGTGTTTCACACATGATGAACACATTTAATGCAAAATTTAGATAAACCCGTGAATAGAAACCACTCTTATAATGTTCAGAACGGTTGCTAATTATAAAATATGCAGCCTCTTCCAAACTATTCCGATTTTAATTTTCTTATGCACCTTCTAATGAGTGGAAAGAGTTTGTCTGGAAGAACGTAAACACTCGTATCTTTATGCATATATTCAGCCAATTCGGAATATTTTAGAATCATTGTAACGTGTTGAACTTAACAGGATAGCAATAGTGTTCATGATTTTCGTGAACGACGGAGCTGGCGGCTACTGGTGGCTGGAGCACGCTACGTGGAACGGCCTGGCTGCAGGCGACCTCGTGTTTCCTGCCTTCTTATGGATTATGGGCGTCTGCATCCCGCTGTCTGTTAAGAGTGCCTTTGCGAAGGGCATACCGCGATGGAAGATACTACTGCACATACTTCGGGTATGAAACATTTAAGTGCTGCTTTGACTCCAAACTTAAAACGAGAATTGTATCATTAATTGTTATAACGTTCGTTGAAGATACAAATGATTATTTTTCATTAACAATTTTAAGTTCTGTTTGAATTCTAGATAACTAAATATATTAAGGTCGGAAGTCTTTACGGTATTTATTCTTGTTTCTTGTTTAAAATCTGCATTAGAAGAATAAAAGTTCACGTGATCGAAGCAGCTAGTAAAAACTTGTTCTTAAATTTGTTTATTAGAAACCAAATTAAGCCTAATTTTAATGCGGTAATTATTAGCGACTATAGCAACACAAAACCTGTAAAAAAATTAACGCCTTCAAATGTCGCCTACATTCGCTCTTATTTGAAAAAATACCAAAATTCATTCTGCACTGTTTACTTACCTTTATACATTTATCACGATCATTTAATTTCTCACGTAAATGCGTGAGAAAATTAAGTTATCTGAAATGGGTTATTTTATCGACAATATTTTTTCAAAGTTAGATATTTAAGATAATTGTCTAGACGAACGAATTGTAACGAGGTAAACGTATTAAAATTTTACTTAAAATCGAATTGAATTACTACTCGCAGTGTATGGCTAGAGACAAGATAAAACTTTTTATTGATAGATTTCACTTAAGGCATAATACTGTTAATATAATAATCCCTGTTAATGATTGATAACTTTTCAATACATAAAAGTAAATTCAATTCACGATTTAATGCACCAACGTCTTTTTCAATGAGGAAATAATAACAAGCCTACTTTAGATCTCAATTAATGAGCATTACCAAACCTTTTGAGGGCTTTGAAGTCAAGTTGCGTCACTGCTTATGTAAAAGCCGATGCAACTGCAAATGGTTTTCGGGTCACAATTTTTTTTCATTTCGCGCGGTGCGTAAGAGTATAAACACTCAAATGTGTAATGTAAATCTCGCTGTGACTGCTCGTTCGGTTCGCTCGAACGGTCAGCGTTATTGAATCATTATTAAGTACTACAAGTTGTATTATTATTTAGGTATTTTGACTATTATACAAGTAGAAGTGGTTAAAGTAATTAGTATAAAAATATTGGAAGACATACTTGTAGGTCATCACAATCTCTATTAACATGCGTAAGATATGACAAATGAATATCTCTACTTGAATAGTATGTGATGCACATTTCACGTATTTCAAACATACTCGTATTAGAGATATTTTCTATAATAAAACTTTCTCGGCCGACCGCATAAGTAGACAAATCTAAGTAACGTTAAACTTTCCATATCACTAATACTTCACCCACATTTAGTCATTGATCAAGATGGTGACATGTTCAATTTGTGTAGCAACCGTCCAATATATGAGTACATTTTTCTGCCGTCTAAATAAACAAACATTCTTATATAAAAGTTAACCATTTTAAATCAATTACGATAATAATTTAGGGTTAATTTTTATTTTTAGTGCTAGTCTCTGCACTCAAGATTAAAGTTCACAATTTTAAATGCTGTAGGTACTTGGTTACGAAGGAACAAAGTAATTTTGAAAAGGTGAATTATCTTTTATGATCGTTAAGATTTGTAATAGTTCCCAAGAATAATGAGTATTTTTTCGAAAATATACAAATTAACAAATAACACTTTGAAGTAAGAAAATTGTATTCTATATAATCTCTATAGAGATAAAATATTTGTAAGTATTGTGTTATTTTAAGTTATTAATATTATAACATACATATATTTTTTTCTTTTTTTTTAATAATTTTCTTTGTATTTTTTTATTTTTGTGTCAATAACATCCGTAAATATCTTTCAGGTGTAATATGCTATTACGGTGGTATAGACAAACCATTGTAGAAGATGTACTAACAAAAGCGATCTATCAGCAACCAGCAGGGGAATATATACATTGTCGCTAACAATTGTGTTATATAATTATTTGTAGACCATTACCCATACAATAATTTCCCCGGCTTCCTGTTCAATCGCGAGATTACCATTCACAGCGCGCTTAACCATACGCTTTCACTTATTACGTCGTTCTTCCCTATTGTTGGACAATTGATCAGATCTACCACGTAGTCTTCGGACACAAACTGTTCGTTGATGAATAATTCAAGCCGCTCATCAGAGAAATACTCCATTGGAAATTCCACGCTCGCGTGTTCTGCGCATCTCGGCTCTCTCCAACATCTCCACGTCAGTGATGTGGATAAACATATTGTTTATCGGTTAAAGTATTGCTATTTGTAGGATTACTTCTATTGAATATATTGTATACGTGCTATTTATTTATTGAATATATTTATACATTTTTTTTTATATTTGTCAAATAATGTTTAAAAAAAATAGTGCCGCTGAGTTTCATTCGCCACTTCTTCTCTGGTCAGTGGCTTTTTTCCGAACGTTTATTAGTGTTTTTTGACAATCAACAATTAGGTGTAATGCATAATGTATGTAATATTCCATAAAGATATTTGAATTTACTTCAATATAAGCTACTTACGGCATATTTACGAATATGTTCATTGGGACAAAATAAAGATTAGTAGGTAGGCATCCGCTCTAAGTCATTATCCTTGTATGATTAAGCGTTTCACAAACAAGATATAACGTTTATAGAAAGTAAGCTCGATCTCAAAGAGTCCTTTAATGCATACTATTAAATTTGTTTAATATCTAACATTAGATGCATCGAACATTCTGTCAGGTAGAATCTTATAAGGTTGAAACTTATTTTAGATGGTTCAAAATATTTTAGTACTAATATAATCCTCCGTATTCCGTCGTTGAGAGTATATGCAGTCGATAAACCAAGCCGTGTTGTTCGCCAGCGTTCGATTATGATGTTCATCCTGGGCATCTCCCTCAACACGATCTACGGCTCCAATATGCTGGGGGAGCTACGCATATTCGGTGTGTTGCAGCGGCTGGCTGTCGCTTACCTGATCGCCGCTGGCTTCTACGCTCTCACAGCGCCCAAATATTACACCCCACCGAGGGTAAGTTCCATTACACTTTAATACTGTGGCAGAATCACTCAGCAGCTGTCGGTGTTGTTCAACGGGCTGTCACTGAAGATCGGCATAAAGTACTTACTAATTGTATCCATTTTTTTATGTGAGAAGGTGGAAAGCGAATTGACGGTACACCTGACGTTATGTGATAACCGCCCATGGACATTTGCAACACCCGTAGGGTTGCAGATGCGTTGCCACCTTTTAATAAAATGGGCCCCGGCTACCACACTCGCCAGACGATTTTTTCGACGACATTTTTCAGAGACATTTTTTTGACGACCCAATTGGCGTAGTAGATAGTGAACCTGTAAGTTGCACCAGACGGTGTGGTTTCACTGCTGAAAAAGTGCCTGGCTGTTTATTTCCTATAAATGTATTGGTTAACAAAAGAAATTGATTTTGATTTTGAGTATGTTTATCGGCTATACAGGGAGGCTTTTCTAAGTGTATCCATTTTTTTAAATTAAATTCTAGACATTAATAATAAATATGTAAACAATAATAAATGTTTTAAATCAGTCGTAAGTAATTAATTATATTCATTTGAACTTATCTCAAAAAGTGCGTTATTTATACGCAACCCATTTATTTTACGCGCGATCATTCATATCTAACACACACACAAGTTCGTTTGTGTGCGTGAACAGTAAAATTTAGGTATTAATGATTGACTACCGCGTTGTCAACAAGTTCTGTCTTTAGGGAATAAAATGGTAATTTTTTGAAAAAAAAAAATGTTATTATTTCAATAAACGACTATACTACCTAGTCTGAACCTCCTGTGTAAATTTGGGCACCTTTCAAAAAGTCTCCTTGTATAGTTAATACCCATAGCTTTGCTTAGTTTTGGATTATGTTACACCGTGTAAAAATATTTTGATTTTAAACTATTATTATATTCTTCATCTTTATATTTTATAAATATACACGTCTTGCTCATGCATGAAAAGCTATCAAAGCTATCATACCCATTATACAAGCTATGCTTAACGTGGATAACGCTGTGTAAATATAATACTTATGTCCTGAAATATTTATTTGCAGGGCGCCTGTGGTCAAGCGCTTAAGGACCTGTTGTCGTGCGCTTGGTGTTGGGCGTTGGCAGGCGTGTTGGTGGCCGTGCACACAGCTATCACTTTCATAGTCCACCACCCAGATTGTCCCGCGTAAGTATTTTAACGTTCATTTTTATCTTAACTTAGCATTTATAGCTTTATTAAAGAAGTATATTATTATTATAGATACTTTTTTGAACACCAAAAATAATTTAATACATTTAGAAAAAAATAAGTCTTAAAGCTATGAACAATAAGGCGGTCTTATCGATCATCGATAAAATCGATCTCTTCCAGACACCTTAGGAGGAAATATAGACTAATGAATAGTGGGAGGTGGTGTGCTCAATAAACGTACAGTTCCTTGAAGTATAGTAAAGTAAAAGTAATGTAACAGCCTATATATGTCCCACTGCTGGGCATAGGCCTCCTCGCTACAGAGGGAATTAGGACATAGTCCACCACTCGACTCCACTTTGGCGGACTTCACATATGTTCGAAACATTTTTTTGTTATTATTGCAAACTGTTGTGACTCTCGTGACAGTTTATTATTTCAGTTTTTAATCACTATCACTACATAGTATAAAACAAAGTCGTCCCTATGTATGCTTAGATCTTTAAAACTGCGCTTTTTTTACTAGATAGAGTTATTCAGGAAGAAGGTTTATATGTAATACATGCATAATATTCTACAGAAACGTAGGAGAGTATATTTAGTATCAGCATTGCACCCGTGCGAGACCGGGGCGGGTCGCAAGTAAGTTAATATTTAGAAATGATATAAACGAAGAAGTTTTGTGATTGCAGAGGCTACCTGGGCTCCGGGGGCAAGCATGACGACTGGGTGGCGCCGGAGTGCAGCGGTGGCGCGGCCGGCTTCATAGACCGCCTACTCCTCGGTGACTCCCATCTCTACCAGAACAGCGACGCCCGTAGAACGTATGGTGGACCACCCACAGACCCCGAAGGGTTGCTGGGTCAGTGACTATTCCATTTTCTTATTTCATCAGTAATAAACATCGACCCCAATTTTTACAATTTCCTAAAATGGTAAGAAATGTTTTTTTAAGCAAATAAAATTAGTTCACAGGTGTGCCGACCTACTGCGCTTTTTTTTGTGATAAGTTGTCAAGCGAGCAGGTGGTTCACCTGATGTTAAGTGAATACCACCGCCCATAGACATCTGCCGCACCCGAGGGTTACAGATGCGTTGACAACCTTTTGAAAATTGGGCTCCAGCTAACTCATTCACCAGACGAAACGCGAAAGTATTATACTTCCACTAGACGCCGGTCTTCGGTGAGTTCGTGGTACTTACCCGGACGAGCTTGCCCATTCGTGTAACAGCCGAGGCTGCTGCGTGGCCCTACCACAGTTAGCTAGGCAATAAATTGTAACTTACCAGTTAAACGATATGGAAAAAAACGATTAAACGCGAACAGTTAATGAACGTTAGTTTCTTAAAATGATAACTTATAACAGGATGCCTGTAGAGTACCTAGTTGCAAAGAAAGCCTTTGGCCTCAACACCTGTATACTTTTGGGCATGGCAGTCGTAAAGCACATGGCCCAAGTGCCACTCAGATAGCGAAGTAGTCGCGTGGCCCTACCCAGCGGAGAGGGCCCAAACCCGTGGGTTCTGGCTAGCCCATCGGTTCTGCGTCAGATGAAGCTTTAATAGTCTCGGGACTGAAAGAAAAAACATCAGTTAATACAAGATACAAGAAATAGTCGCTACATATCAGCCTAGGGATGGCATCATCTTTTCTCGTGTAGGCTGCTTGACGTCGGCGGTACAAGCTCTGCTCGGCGTGCAAGCCGGCGCCACAGTTCTTCTTCAGCGCTCGCACAAGGCTCGCGTCTCCCGCTGGCTCGCCTGGGCACTGGTACTCGCACTTGCCGGAGCCCTACTCGCCGGTTTCTCTCGCGAGCACGGAGTAGTGCCCATCAACAAGAACTTGTGGTACGTACCGTAATAACAAAATAAAAACGCCACAGTACGTCGTATGTATGTGTATATATATCTTGATTTGATACTGATAACAAGATGGATTTTACGATTTGACTTTGTGTCCATCACAATTGTCAAACAAGTCAAAGACACAAAGTCTTTCCATATATCCTACGTATTCAAAGGATTTCCATATTAGGATATATGGATGAAGCTTTATGTAGACTTCAGACTAAAAGCAATTCAACAATTAGATAGCTGCGAAGGGTTACAGTTGTGTTGTCCACCTACTAGACAGTGGGTGTCAATACAAATAATGATATATTATGCCGGTCTCCCAGTGGCATTGCAGAAGATGCTTTGTGCTTCTGCCACAGCTAAATCAGTGCCCTCACAGGTGGAAGACTAGTAAATATAGAGTAAGCAATGCATATATCACTCAATCACATAAAAACTGTTGTCACGCACGGTCTGTTTATGTAACTTCTCCGTATTTAAAGTCTATAACTTCGGTTAACCTAGTGAGTTAAGTGTTTTTTTCTTTTTCACAAATGTGTACAATAAATGTTCTTCTAGCCGTGATATTAACATAAGTGATAAGCATATAAAATTAGTACATAAAATAAGATTAATTTAATCAACTACATCGAACGTTAAAGCAGTGCACTTACGACACGAACGCGTAAGCGACACCTAATTCACGGCGCTTAAGACCTATCGTCCGCAACTCTCGCTTGCTGCTAGCAACTGGCCGGAATATTTTCGCCGCAAAACTACTCGTCATCTTATTATATCTACCCTGCAATGGCACCAAGCTACGGTAAATGTGCTAAATGTTCAAACATGTTATAAAATAAGGAATTTTTGACATGCGTTGCTTACAAAAATAAGTTTGACATTAATTGTGCCAAGATTTCTTCGAAACGCTTTTATGCTTATTACTCAGCTGACTCAAATCGTAAAAATAATTGGTACTGCTCTTCTGATTGTTCAAAAATGGAGGTGAAATCTGCTATTTCCTCTAACACTCATATTCCCTCAACTTCCGCTGGAATGGCAGTTAGCCCCGTTTCTGACGAAAATAGTAACACCAGTAATTCAAACATTACGACAAGAATTGGACGTACTCAACATTCGCAAATGAAGTTAGTAGATGAAGGATCACCTCTCTCTACACGTGTACCCACACCCACCTCTGATCGTATCTTCAATATTACCGAGGATCAGATTAGGAGCATCGTCAATGAGGAGTTACTGAAAACTATAAATCAGCATGTTACGACTGAGTTTAAAAACATCACAGAGCAATTTAATGAGCTTAAGGTTTCAATGGATTTCTTCAATTCGAAGTTTGAAGAAATGAAAACCAAACTAGAAGAAAAGAATGCTTTAATAAATCATCTGTCTGCAGACAACAAAAAGCTAAAATCCACTCTAAGTGATGCATGTACCCGTCTAAACTTAGTTGAACAGAATATGAGAGAATCTAATATCGAAGTGAACGGTATCACTGAACATAGAGGAGAAAATTTGGTCAACACTATTACACAGTTAATAAAAGTCGTCGGCGATCCAATTGCATTGGAAGACATTATTCACGTGACACGGGTGGCAAAAATGGTTAAGGACAATAATCGACCTCGTACTATGGTGATCAAGATGCGGTCGCCGAAACACCGTGATGCTGTTCTTGCTGCTGTTGCCAAATTCAATAAAAGCAACCAGGGAGAAAAATTAAACACAAAACATCTTGGTTTAGGTGGACCCTGCAATCCTGTGTTTGTGGCTGAGCATTTATCTCCACAAAACAAAAGTTTACATGCGGCTACGCGTCTTAAGGCAAAAGAATTAAAATATAAGTTTGTCTGGATACGTAATGGACGTATATTTGTGCGTAAGGACGAATTTAGTGAATCGATTTTTATTAAAAACACGGACAATTTAAATTCACTAAGATAAATCATTTATCTGTTTTTTCAAGAGAGTTATGGTGTTGAAATTTCTGAATACGATTTTATATATTATCAAAACGTTCGGGGTATCCGAACGAAAACACATGAAGTACTAAAAAATATCCTTTGTAATCACTATAAAATAATCGTATTTACGGAAACGTGGTTAAATGACAGTATTCTAAATAATGAGTTTATAGATTCTCGCTATGCCGTATATCGTAGAGACCGGGTTTGCTTCAAAACTTCAAAGAAAGATGGCGGTGGCGTGATGATAGCTGTATCGCGTGACATACCTTCAACACGTATTAAAGAGTGGGAAACTGAGTGTGAGGATCTATGGGTAAAAGTCAAATTGCAAGTAAATGGTAGAAATGAAACTTTTTTTATATGCACTGTCTATTTGCCACCGCCAGCTAACTTTGAGACTCAGCAGATATTCTTGGGTGGAGTTGACACAGCTTTAAATGAAACAAATAATATTGTAATCCTTGGTGACTTCAATTTAAATTTTATTGATTGGCGTCCTGACAATGACTGCAGGTACATGGTCCCATCGAATTATAGCCGGAGTTTAGGTAATTCGCTTGTAGATTTTATTCATTAAATAATCTGTATCAGATAAATGGAGTTCAGAATACTAACGATAAGATTTTAGACCTCGTAATTACAAACATGGAAGGTGCAACTGTATCTGCGAGCTCTTGCACCATTAGTAAACTCGATTGCCATCATCCTAGCATTGTTTGTTCCATATCATTTTGTAGTGCTGCAGTAAACTATTATTCCGTAAGGAAGCGTGTTGATCATAATTTTTACAAAGCAGATTATGACAAAATTAAATTACATTTGAACAAAATTAATTGGTTCACCGTTCTCAATAGTCAGAAAGATGTAAATGGCATGGTATCAGCTTTTTATGAAATACTAAATGATATTATTTGTGAATCAGTACCTAAACGTAAAATTAAGTCGTCAAAGTATCCAGCTTGGTTTAAAGAAAATTTAATTAAGCTAATTAAAGAGAAAGATAGACTTCGAAAGCTCTATCACAAATACCAAAATCCACGAGATAAATTTGAATATGAATTATTGCGCGAACGATGCCATAAACTCTACGATAAAAGCTATAGGGACTATGCTCACACAATTGATATGAATATAAAAAAAAGTCCTAAACACTTTTGGACATTTCTTAAAACTTATCAAAAGAACTCATCATCTATTCCTGCTTTTATGAAAATGGATAAGAAAGTTGCATCGGATAATGCTCAGATTGCGGAATTGTTTGCCCTACATTTCTCCTCCGTTTATACGTCAACTAAAACTTCAATTGATTTGATTTCTGCAATGCAAACGTCGAATGTATCTTGTTACAGGAATATCATTGCCACTTTTAGTGAATCTGAAGTCCTCAAAAAAATCAAATGCCTCGATATTCAAAAGGGGGCTGGTCCTGATAGCATACCGCCGTTATTCATTAAGCACTGTGGATCCGTCCTCGCGCTACCTTTAAGTATTATTTACAATTATTCCCTACGAATAGGAATATTTCCTGATAAATGGAAGATGACTCGAATAGTTCCAGTTTTTAAGAAAGGTGACCAATCTGAGATTAAAAACTATAGGCCCATATCCATCTTATCATCTTTTGCTAAAATATTTGAGTCCCTTGTCTCCCCATATTATATCGTCATGTTAATAGCTCACTATCTGATTTCCAGCACGGTTTTAGAGGCGATCGATCAGTGGAAAGTAACCTTGTTTGCTTTCTCTCAGATGTTGCCACTGACCTGGACAAAGGTTGGGAAATAGATGCAATTTATACAGACATGTCTAATGCTTCTGATAAAGTAAACCATACACATCTCTTATCCAAGTTAAAGAAATATGGTATCGAGGATGTGCAACTGAAATGGTTTGCCTCCTATTTATATAATCGCCCCCAAGCAGTTGTCGTTAATGGATCGCAATCTAATATTTACTATGCTAAGTCTGGCGTACCGCAGGGCTCTCATTTGGGTCCAATTTTATTCCTTATATATATTAACGACATAGTCTCCCAGATTAAGCACAGCAGAGTTTCTCTTTATGCTGATGATTTAAAGGTTTATAGAACCATTTCATGCGTAAATGATGTTCAATTACTCCAAATCGATTTAAATAACATAGCCAAATTTAAATAATAATATAATAATAGTTTAAATAATAATATGGTTCTTAATCCGAATAAATGTTATCACATTTCTTTTACTAAAAAAAGAAGACCTATTTCATCTTCATACCAGATGAATGGTGTGATATTGACAAGAGTTGATGAGGTGCGTGACCTAGGAGTGTTTATTGACAGTAAGTTAAAGTTTGATGTACATATAGACAAAATTGTAGGAAAGGCAGCTCGGATATACGGCTTTATTAAGCGTAACTCTCAATGCTTCAAACAAACTTCAACTAAGTTAATTCTTTACAACAGTTATGTACGATCACACCTCGAATTTGCTTCAGTTGCTTGGAATCCAACATATAATGTGTCTTCACAGCGTGTGGAAAGGATCCAGCGCATCTTCACAAGGCACCTTGCTTTTATTTCTTCGAATATCTCCCATAGAAAGCCGTATAATCAAAGGTTAAAACATTTCAAAATGTGTACTTTACGTAATCGTAGAACCATAGCTGATTTGTCTTTTCTGCATAAAGTGCTTAATGGTAACGTTGCATGCCCCTCAATAGTTGAGAAAGTAAGCCTCGTAGTCCCCTTCAAATATCCTAGATCTCATATTACCAAACTATTTTACATTCCCCCGTATCGCACCAATTTAGGACTACATAAGTCATTTTCAAGAATTTTGTCTGAATACAACTATTTGTCTGTATCAAACACCGAGCTGGATATTTTTAACGATTCACTTAACGTTTTTAAAAAGAAATTGTTTTCATTATTAGCATGTTAGATTTCACATATCAATTTACTAATCTGCAAGCATATTCGATATCTTTTGTACGTTTAATTTAGTCTATTGATAATTTATCTTTAGTGTCCACTTCCTATTTTTTTTTTTTTATTTTAGTTTATAAGTGTGATTAACTCTTTATCAATGTTGTGTATACCTGTAATAGGCATAAATATATAAAAATTGGCCCTATAGCAAAGAACATATAAATATTATTATATTTTATGCTGTTGGTGTACCTAACAATAAATAAATAAATAAATAAGTTCATGGTAGCCCGTTATAGCTTAACGTAACCCTTAGAAAAAATAGCATAGTCTCTAAATTATGTGCATCTCATGATAATATTTTATTAGTGCACTTCACTCAATTCCCCTGGACTACACGTAAGGTTGACTGGCGGAAAATGCTTAGGCATTCCTTTGTATGAAGATTTCAATTAGTGTATAAGTTAAATTTTTTTAATGTGCGAAGGTGGCAAACGAGCTGGCAGTTCACCTGATGTAAACTTCACCGTTCGTTTAACAGAAGACAGTTGCGTGGCCCCACCTCAGTGAATAAATAAATATAGACTCCACCACCAGGTCGATGTCGTTCGTGCTGGTGACGTCCGCGTGCTCGCTCGCGCTCCTCAGCATCTGCTACACGTTCACGGACGCGTGGCGGCTGTGGGGCGGCGGGCCGTTCCGCGCGCCGGGCCTGAACGCCATCGCTCTTTACGTGGGCCACTCGCTGTGCGCGCACCTGTTTCCCTTCCACTGGCGCGTGCCCCACATGCGGACACACGGGCTGCGACTGCTCGAGGCGGCGTGGGGCACCGCCCTCTGGGTGGTGATCGCGCACGTGATGGCGCGCAAGAAGGTGTTCATCACCCTCTGAGAGTGCGCCGTCGACTCCCCCACGGGCGACGCGCCTACGAGCTGTTCTCGAACGTTCGGACGCGCGACTTGAGGCGGGAGACGGACATCGTGCGGCTGCGCTGCCGCCCGGATAAGCGCTATATAGCGCCGCGCTCGCCAATCTGCACGCCGTTGTTGCCGCATAGACGCAAACGGAACGTCGTGTCCTTGTAATTAATACATCTATGGACTGGATTGTAGTGTTTATTCAATTTATGGAGTGTAAGAAATTACGTTTATTTAAAAAAAAGATTGAACACAGTTTCTGTAAATTCTGACAGCGATGACATGCGAACGCGTCAGCGTGTTCAAGTGTTGTCCGTATAGATATTTTTGTTGAGCTATTTTTGATGGATTTAAATAGTTATAAGTGTAGGGCCCGTTAAGAAGTTAAGGTTAAAACCGATCATAGGTGTTATGATTTAGTATTTTTAACAGCGTTCAGCGCGAAACCATGGATTGGTAAGAAAAAATCTAAAAAGAAATGTTAAAGACTGAGACAGCATTCTAGAATGCTATGAATGTTGCTGTCACGAAAGTTGGCATTTACATCTGTGTAATATATATTAAACTCTAGTCTCTATCGGCGTAATGAAAATAATTCTATTGTTTACATACAATATTTTAAGGTTCGCTTGCAATAGCATTATCTTTATAGTTAATAGTTTTAATAAATAAAATATCTTTTAAATACCGTTTGAATTTAAAACCATGTTGTCGAGTGTTTGAGAATATACGTATTTGCTGGTAATTTCACTTTTTAGATCATATAAGCACAAGGAATATTTCTGAATAAGTGACATTTTTGCGGACAAGTGTTTGTTTTCTTTTTTTAAACCCCAACCCAATTTAGATGATGATGCAGGATTATATTTAATTTTCAGTGTTAAATTTCATAATATAATTGGACAAGTATTCCACTATTTTGGATCTTGTCAAGTTTTATTTGTTCTCTTCTTTCAGAAATCAACTCCATCTGGAGACTAAACCCGGCGTTAAGAGAGTATTCCTCCGTAAAGATAATCAGGCGCACAAATTGTACGAAAACGTGTACAACTATTTGTAAATGACAATAAATTATCCCGCGTGGGAGTCAAACCCACACCACTGTGTAAAATGGCAGTTGGCGAGGTTGACTGAAAGCAACACATGCAGTGCTTCCAATCTTTATGAACACTACATTCTTGGAGTGATCTTTACCCGTTTACGAGATAAAAAGCTTACAGGGCCGGATTTAGGAGAGGGCAACCGGGGCAACAGCCCCGGGGCCTCCACAAACGAGGGGCGCCCACAATAGACTTCGGATTTTTTTTAAATTCACTCTAGTATACAATAGTAAACAAATTTTCCTTTCACTATTTTTTTCGCGTTTTACTTTTACCTACAGTACTGTGTACCAATATGATTACATTAAATATTTACAGAAACCAATAGAAAATAAATTGGGGCTAAGAGGCCTCCATTCCTTTGTTGCCCCGAGGCCTCCAGACCTCTAAATCTAGCCCTGAAAGCTTGAAACTGTTCAATACAGATGAATGCATTCGATGGGATGGGATCCAATGAAACAATCGATATACAATATCTCGTTTTATTAGCTCAAGGGTGACAGTAAAATCCGCAATGTCATTGGAAAATAATAATAAAACAAACGATTCAACAAATCATGACTCAAGGTAACAGCGAATAGTTTTAACAAATAAAACTATCAATAAAATTACTACACTTCAAATGAATAACAAAACATTACGGACACAAGCGCCGCGACGTGTCGGCTTGTGGTCGCATAAACCGCTCCATGCGAGGTTATCTGTGCCCGAAAAAAACACTTTTTTTTAAAATCTACATTCACAAATTAAGACAGCGAACCTCGTATGGAAACGGTATTGTCACCCAATATGCGTTGCTCGCATACCTAAACGTATAAATGTATGTTTGGCATTTTATATACTTTATATTATGTCGAAATATGGGCACTCGCGTAGCTTGCCTGCGACGCCAGTGCAACAAACGTTTTTATATTGATTCCATAAGTTAAAATATCTACTACTTTATAGTTAATTCATATAAGTCGTTTTTTTTATTTTTCAATAAATCACTCTTTCGTAGACGGTAAATGCCATATTAGGAATTAAATACATTAACTACGCGTAAATACTTCTTTCAAACATATATTTATTTATAACAGTTTCAAACGGCGCATGATAAGTGGCCTCCCATAACTCTATCATCGGTCCCTACCAAACATTGGTAAAATCGGTACTGAAAGGCGGGCGCCCCCTTTCGATTTCGACATATATTCTGTATACATAGATTTAACTATACTCTAACCTATAAAACTAACTTGTATAGCGATAGACACATAAAACAGTGTTTATACATTTCTAAAATTCATTATAGAAAAAATCTCTTAAAATATATCTCAGTAAATTCTTTTAACTGCCCCGCAGAGCCGGAGTCGAAATAGACGATATATTTCAGCGCTGATATAAATAGAACATTTGCTTATCGCTAAATAGGAAGAACTTTAAAAATTTAAAAAGAGAACGTTATAATTGCACACATAGTAAAAATACTAACTTCGCTAGCGGCGCAATGCCGTCAAACGAACCACACGACAGCTCCATAAATTATGCTCCCATAAAATTAAAATAGCATTTATTATGTTACACAAGACAGAGAACTGAGGAGGGAAACAGCTAACGATTTTGTACATAGAAATTGTAGTTGTTAGTACATATTTAACATTAGAATTACGCATAAGTACTCGAGCTCACTTTAAGTCACTCATATAATTAGAAGAAAAAATAATAATGGAATGTTTAGTCTAAAAGAATGTTAGTCGTAACAGGGCTTAGTGCCTCTGGTGCAAGTCTTCGCGCGTCACATGGCAAGACCTGACCGATGATTGGCAACTGTGAGATTCAGTTTACGGCTTTGCTTGTACGAGTCGTTCGCGAGTCCTGGCACACCGCTCTCCACTTTTTCTTGGAGCAGCATCGAATGGATGTGCGAGCGAGAGGTCCGACGTTACGAACGCGACGGGGAACTCGGTCGGTGCTAAACGTTGCCCACGTCGAAACCTATTTGGCCTACCAAGCAGCGAATGATAAATTTAGTATTGTTAAGGCATAGTGCTTGTTACTCTCGTTAAAGGCATGCCGCTATTTGTACTTGTCGATCTAATGAGCGCAGTACGTACCGAATCTGTGTACAGCTATATCCTGCGGTCCACCCTGTGCCCCTTCAGGTTGCTACGTAGAGACTAGACTTTATACCGATAACAAAATTCGTTCGCAATTACAAACTCGGTTTTTTGCAGGATGCACACATCTTACGTTATCCTTAAATACATGATATAAAAAATCTCTAGGACGATACACATTTCGCTATAAATGCAAATTCATGGAATTCAAAATTAACCGTTAAGACGCACGCCGCGGTGCGTCTTATAAAATATTATGCTAAGTTTCCGACTGTATCCGTTTCCGATCGGACACGAGGTACGTCGAAAGATAACAAAAATCTTTAAGTAGTCCAGTCACATGCCTTTTCCTCTATTTATAATTTATAAAAAAACATCGATGTCGGATCGTTAGGCCGATAATAAGTGGTTAACAGCTGATAAAACATCTCAGTACAATAATTACAAAGTATAAAGCAACTCGCCCGTAGATACGGCGGCGTACGAGCCTGACGTACGCCTTGGGTAACAATTACAGTACTTAAACTAAACGCTTGTCTTAAAAAAAACGCGCACGTATTAAGGCCTAAATGCTGTAGCGTCGCACACCTAACGAGATTTCGGACACTCGCAGACTGTGAACAACTGGGGCCCCAGTGCGGTTCCCTGAGGGATCCCTGCCGCGGAGGCGATGAGCCGTGGCAATAAACAACTGAGGGTGGCACTTCGCGATCGGTGCACCCCCAAGCAGCAGGGGGCGCACGGCCACCAAAGTTCCAGCACCACGGAATACATTAACTAACGAATACAATGAGCAACCATTCGAACGCTTAACCCAAATCCTCCCGGACACCTTCTCCACCTCGTACAATTGTAAATTACATCCAAAATATACATTATAAATATACACTCCGCTATAGAGACAGTTCATTTATGTTAAAATTTCATATTCATATATTCAAATAGCCGTGGGAATGTTCTACTTGCCATTTCGCACGATTTTCTCTGAACGAAAATTTGCTTTGAATCAGATCGCAGGCCATCTTCGCTGAATAGGTGGCTCGTATTGAAATGATTTTAAAGACGAATATTTAAAATGACATGGAACTTTTATAATAGATGTAGAAGGATCATTGTCTCGAATTTTGAATGGACAATGTTTGCTTTCCAAAACTTCAATAATTTATAAACGGTTAAATATAAAAGAAATACTCATATATATTTTATAAAGATAAAATAGATTAGAAAACTTAAGGAATCGGAGAAGGAGAAAAATAAACATGAAACAGTTCCCCATTCAATAAAAGCGACCTTGGCGCATAAATTCAGTGCATAAATAACCGTGGCTTGCGATCCGATTGCACTACTGAATACAGAACAGACAAATGCATCGAAAAATATTTCATCTGCGGCCGTCGATTGTCGGTTCAGTGTTTTCCGAATTGGGGTGGGGCTTGGTGTTGGGTCCCTGGGCGCCGCGGTCCGCTGCGGCGTGTGACGTCACGCGAGGGTCTCCCGCGGTGACGTCACTTCCGGGCGTTGCGCGTCACCAGCGCCTGCAGGGCGGCCAGCTGGCTGAGCAAACTCGCGTTCTTCTGCTCGAGCGTGTCCACCCTCTTCCTGTAGTCCGAATTCTCCGACACCAAAATCTCGACCTTCCTCTCTAGTTGGTCCATGTACTCCTTCTTCTTGCGCCTGCTCTCTTGAGCAGATATCTAGAAAGAAATTGATTCTATAAAAACGCGTACATTTATTCCCTTCTCGTTTCTTATTTATTGTGTTCACTTCACATGTAAGTATTTCGACAGTAGAACAGCTTGATACCTTATTTTTAATTTTCCTCCTGATCTTCTTGAGAGATTTTTCCTCGGCTTTAGTGAGGGGCAGACGCGTTGGTACTGGGTAACCCTCTGCAAGTAATGTGCGTTTCTCCTCCTCCGTCAGAACCAAGGTGCCCGTTGATCCCTTCTGTAAAAGAACGAATATTTTTCGTCATGAAATGTGTATGGTAATGTGAAGAGAAGGAATGAGAGACAAGTGGAGAGAAGAAATATATAAAGGTTAAGTTGGCGGGGAATTTCCTCAACGTGAATTCAGATATATTCGCGATTTATTGGATGTGAGAAAATAGGAATGTCAAAATACGTTGATGTTTTCTTATGAAACTTAAATAGTTTACTTCGAACATAATCAAATATAAGAACTTATTTCGACCGGTGGATCAAGGTTTGTTGATAAACTATTTATATTGATAGAAACTAGTATAATTTTACAGTACTGGTATAATAATACTAGTATAATGGAAATACTGGTTATTTCGTTAATATTTAAAAAGGCGTAAGATCGATCCAAAACCCCGAAATACACCAATTGCTCACAACACATCATCTTGCCAAGACAAGTTTGCTAAAATAAATTTTTTTACCTAAATAAAATTAACCGACTGTAAATATTCGTCTGTAACCGCTTGACCATTTTCCTTAGTTTCGTGGGTATGCTCTTTCGTCAAAACGTGTTCAAACCCACCAGCCACATCGTCGTTCACATGACCTCGTGCCTTGGTCGCATGAGCTTGCCGTCAGCCGAGGGCTTACCGGTTGGCTGCTGATGAGCGGCGTGTTGATCGGCTGCCGCGAGTGCTGCGACACGTAGAGGTGGGCGCGGCGGGCGGGGGGCGCGGGCGCGGGGGGCGTGCTCGCCTCGTGCGCGGGCGACAGCGCCCCCTCGCTGTCCGACGACGAGAGGGACGAGGGCGGTGTCGGCGGCAGGTTGAAGCCTGGGAGCGTGTTGAGATTTACGACTGGGCGTGCCGGGTCATTGCACACGCTGATAGGGTCCGGAATACCGGCTGTGGTCGGTGGCTGCAGCGGCCGTGGAATTGGTTCTTAGAGCGCGGAAATCAACGCTGAATATTTATGGGCGACAATCAAATGCAGATGGATAATCTTCTATTGGGGGATGATTGTCATCAGCATTTATTTAGACCAAGCTGTCCAAAGGCAAATCGTAGTCGCGAGCACGTTTGTGCTTCACACTCGTGTTCAGCTTACAAACTCAAGTCTTACGAGTAAATAAAGTCTTACGGGTAAATTATCGCATACTGAGAAGTTGAAAGCACCAGTTTCACAGAGGTGTAAACGAAATGGTTCGATTAAGAGCAGGATCCGTGCTCACCTGACGTTCCGGAGCTGGACGTGACCTTGATGGAGAGCTTGTTGCCGCTGAGGGAGTTGGCGATGCGAGGGGCCGCGTTCAGGAGTATCTGAGGAACTGCGGCAGCGCCGACTTTTTGCAGGACCGCCTGCGGCATGTGAATGGTTCCCGTCTGGAAGTTGTACCGATATCCTTAGATGGTGTGTGTTGGTTATAATTTTTAACATATTTACGACATACAAGTAACTACATTTAGATAGTTGCTGAAAGTTGATGTACTCCAGCGACCTCTAGACTTTGTTGATTTAATGTGTATTCTGCGGAATCCGAATTGGTAAGGTTATAAATTTTATAAAAGATAAGTAACTTAGCATTTAGAAAGTCACTGAGTTGTTTGAACTTGAACTCCGGTGACCCCTAGATTTCGTTTATTCAACATGTATTCTGCGGCATCCGAATTGAGAATGTGTTTGTTGCTATTATTTTGGTCTTAAGAATTGCCCTTTTGTATTGAGAGGTTTAGAAAACGGTGGACGGAAGTACCAAAAACAACTTACTACACTTCAAAAAGAGTTCGGAATTCAAAAGACGAGTAAGGAAAAAAATAATTACAAGCTGTACTCTACTGAATACATTACATTTATCGGCCACTACGACTAAAATAACGCTATCTTAAAGATAAGTAAATAACATTATATCTAATACAAAAACGTTCAGCTACTCTCCGTCAATCCGTCATCGTCGCTATATCCTAACCTTACCTAACCTTAACCTGACCTTGTTACGGTAATAAAATCAAACCATCTGCAATGCATAATCACTATGGACGTCATAATGCACGAGTCCAACACGGCGTCAACATCAGGACAATATTGTTGAGAGACAATGATCCTGACATACAGACAAACTTTTCCTCCTCATTATATAATATATAGGAAAATCCAAACGGCTTCCCAGTGCTTTTTGTGCGAGATTTGGTCGTGACTTGCCTACAATATAACTGTGTTATGAATGCCTCAAATACAAAAGTTAAACTGTGGTTACAACCGATCAATGGTCTACGTGAATGACGATTGGACACGGCGCTTGATAGATATAAATATTATAACAGTTCACGATAAAATTTCTTTAACATAAGAACTTTAGTTATTCTCCTTTTTTAACCGACTTCAAAAAAGGAGGTTTCTCAATTCGACCGTATTATATTTTTATTTTTTTTATGTGTTTTTGTGGATAACTTTGTCGTTTATGAACCGATTTTGATGATTCTTTTTTGTCAGAAAGGAGATATCCCAAGGCTGGTACCGCCTTAAGGAAATGATCTGATGATAACATCCCAGAGAAATTGAGTGCCATCATTGAATGTTATAGGTATTACAATGTTTTTAATTTTCGGATTGAAGTCAGTTTTTTTAAGTAAGTTTTTTTTTCTTAAAAATTATTTGTGATCCCTTTTACGTTTGAATACAATGTCTCTTAGTACAGCTTAGTACTGCCTATCGAATGTTTAAAGGTGATTTGGACTGGAATGAAATTAGAAATAATTTTAAGGTGAACGTTTGCAGACAGAGTTATCACGGCTGGTTGTAATTTTTGTTTAGTCTCAGAAATGAAAAGGATAAAGAAAGAAAATTTATGTTACTCTATAAAAATGTACCACAGTAGGTAGAATATTGTGTAGTCACAGAGGAGGAGGATATCGTTATATTGAAATGAATTGATCTTAATTTAACTCGGTTTTATTATTAATCCTGTATGTAAATTCGCAAATATAAATGAATGTGATACATATAACAAAGGAATTCCTGATAACCGAAAAATATGTTACATTGCATACATATTAGAAATTCGTATTGGTTAGTAAAATTCACTCACCGTGTGGTCGATGACGTAGTCGAGGTGTGTTAGGGGGGTGCCCGGCGTGGGTGACGGGGGGCACGAGGAGGCCGGAGATTCTGGCTCAGACTTTGGCTCGGCCTTCACCTCAGTCAGCGGGGAGCTGGACCGCCGCCGGCTCCGCCACGCGCTGGCTGGGATCGCTGGATAGCATTCGTCCTCCATGTCTGAAATTTAGAATGGCCCAATCAACAAATGCTTAATATGTCGACCATTAACGATCCGTGGGTCAGCTCTCGCTGGCGGTTAGGTATTTCAATGACATAGAGATAATAATGGCATTATCTTCGTTCTGCGTTTGTCTGTACCCAATTTGTTTGCGCCAAAAGCGCTGGGCGACACATGATTTTACGCTACAGTGGAGATAATATTAATAATATGATAATATTAAAAGAATGTTAAAATTATTTTACTTGTTTAAAATACCCATAGAAAATAGTACGTTTGCTATTGACAACGTTGTCATGCCAGGACAATTTTTATATACCAGGACCTACAGATGTCAAATTTTATATGTGCCCTCGTTAAAATTAAAATGTTCACTTGTGTTCTAAACGATCCCATTAATATGGCAATGTTGCGGACGTTAAGTAATGTTGCCAAATTTAAAATGTTGCTCATTCTATGCTTTTTAAATACAACTTAGTTATTGTCAAATTTATTCTTGCTTATTTAATTCTTGAAACTGCACTGATTGATAGTAAAAAAATGACTGTTACGAATGTAACAGATTCGAGGAAGGATTCAAATAGTTTTTAAAAATTGAATAGAAATAATTGAGCGCATTTCTCTTCACAATCCGTTTATATTTAACAAAGTATTTTAGATAAGTAACACGATAATGCGCATTGAGATGTAAGAATGTTGGCTTTTTACATTAAGGAATTAATTATAAATACATTAAGAATTGCATTAAGGAATCAATCTCCTAATTGTGTCGTATATTTTTAACGCCGGCTCTAAACAACCTTTACTATAAGTAAAATTTATGGATGGAGCCCTTATTATATTAATAGCCCTGTAGATTGTTTCGAATCTAAAATTTGCTACAGTATAACACGCGGCATCAGAAACAATTACATCAGTAAGTACTAAAGCAGCGGTCTGTAGAACGCATTAGTTAAAACAATTGGTTAAGACCAATGATTTAAATTTTATAACGTGATAAAAACAAGCTATAACACTATTACAGTTATAGCTTGCTGTTACGCTGATTATATTTTTATTGATATATAATTTACAACATATCTTTGCACATATACAAATTAATTACAGAAAAGACAGTGAGTTAAGTTAAAAGGGGCGACAGTTTTTAATCGAGTATCAATAGAACGTTATCCAATTAATTAATACTAATGCAATAAAACCACAAACGGGTCTTTCGGCTACGGTTATGCCTCGTTCCTTTCTCTTTTCCCACGACCGTTTCCGATTCCAATTCGGATGTAACGAAAAAGTTCTACAAGAAATACGTACAGTTTTTTTTTTTCTGAATTGACCGTATCCGCCGCTAATATCTATGTGATTTTGCGTGCCAGAAATTCGACCCTATAAAATTTGTTACCAAGTAAAATCCCATAACGACAATTTCTATTGTCTGGTCATTCTCCTGGTCATTCCCCAAAAGAGACTTCCGAGTACACAGAGACAAGAATTCTCGTTTTGTACGAGACTTGGAAATAGTGCCCAATAGTGTACAATACCATCCTAATAAAGAGAGTGTTTATCACTTAACTATTCATGAGAATTCAAAACATTAAAATGGGTGAGGTCTTCGTTATGATAATTCTGTGGAGATCACAAACCTCTGATTTAAGGCTTTATTACAGTAATAACTTTCATCACCGTAAAAACTATTCGATTTAACGTTGTGAGGCCACCGTTTTTGCTTATTTAATCAACAATCGAATAATTCATGGCGATGTTCGTATGTACCTATTCCGACAAACTTTGCATCATTTCATAGTGGTTTCGCAAAATGTGGACTTATGTCAACTTATAAATAAAATACTTCGAAGAACTCCCCTATTAGTGCCAATGATAGTATTGTTCGAGATTAAATATTGAGCGTGTTTGAATTAATAATTGCTCAGGCAACACACGCTTAATTGTTGAATAATTCAGCCAATTTCGTCTATCATAGACAAACATACATCTTCTTTAATGTTTTTAATAGACGTCGTATTTATATGGGCCATTTCAATAGTGAAGGGTTGCCATACACTAGATTCTTTGTTTCACAACGCTATATCACACGTTTTATATTATTCACAACAGTTATTTTTCAAAAGAATATGTACATTAATATTTTTAAAACATTAGTTTCTTAATTTGTAGGTAGCAAACGGATACGTAGTCATTATCTAAATTGTAATTTATAACTAATTGAAAAACATTGTACGAGATAAATCAAGTGAAGGCTATTAGCCATATCGAATTTTTAAATATCAAGTATACAATATTCGAGTAAAATAATTTATTGTTTATTGACTGATTGACCTAAACATTCAAATCCAAATGAAGCTTGAATAGCTTCATTTGGATTTGAATGTTTACCGTCTAAACTAAAAACGAGTAACCATAATTATAGTTTTGTTTCGTTCAGATTAGCTTAATTTTGTATTATAAATCTCATAGATCGAGTATCGGGGCAACGCTCGTATGGGGCGCTCGCGTTATTGTCATTTCCGAAGTGAACTATTATCGCGCGCCTCGCACAAATATTCGTCTACCGTACTTTGTGCGAGCGCCGTGCGCATTGGTGCACTACGCTCGCACCTGACGACTATTCATTAAGAACTTATGCGTATTTCTTAACATGTTGTCGGATAGCGAGAAGGAAGAGTGCGTACTCGATACAAATGACTGTGACCAATACTTAGAGAAAGAAACAACGGAGTTACATACAATTCATCAATCACACGGAGAACAACAATATGGAGAAGATTTTCAAGTCAACCAGAACTCAAACATAAAACGTTTAAGAGAAGAAGACGACTTAGAATGGCAATTAGTGGAGCGCAATGGTAAAAAATCTAAAGATAACAACAACAAAATTGAGGTATATGTTTCATGCTTGGAAAAGTTACCCAAACAGTTCGGTTTGGCAAAAACACTTAAAGAGCACAACATCAATGACGCCGTAAAAATTAAATATATTAACCCTTACAGAATTAGAATTGAATTTAGTAATGAATTGAGCGCAGAGAAGTTTATTGCATGTGACAAGCTAATATCAAAGGGATGGAGGATGTTCAAGTCCATGGAAGTGGCTTTCTCTTATGGCATAATTAAAAATGTCGATATCAATCTGAGTGAGGAGGAAATATTGAAAGGTATTAGTTGTGCAAGACCAGCTGAACTTGTATCCCTTAAACGTCTTAATCGGCGTGACCAAAATGGAGAATGGGTACAAAGTGAAACTGTTCGTTTATGTTTTAAGGGATCATTTCTACCACCTTACGTTATTGTCGATGGTCTACAAATAATCGTGGAAAAATATGTTTTTAGTGTATCACAATGCACTCGTTGCTGGCGACTTGGCCACAACGTTAAAAAATGTGTATATACAAAAATAGTCTGCCCAAAATGCAGCGGTAACCACTCAACATGTGACACAAATGAGCTAAAATGCCCGAATTGCTCTGGAAAACATACAGCGCTTTATAAAGAATGCCAAGTTTATAAAAAAGAGAGGAAACTTCGTTTAATTATGGCGGAGTTTAATTGCACATATCGTAAAGCGCTAACATTATATCCTTCTTCAGACTCCCCTCATGATTCGCCCCTACCTACCTCACACACATACAGGCAAGAGTCACAATCTAAACTCCAGACAACGGTTGAACTTAATTCGCCAATTATAAACCACAGTTATGCCAACGCTGTTAAGAAAACATCAAAGCAGGAACAACAATATAAACATATTAATTTACCGGACCCAAAAGAAAGATCCGAACGAAAATCCAGAAAAATAACCAAGAAGTTTAACTTTAACAGTCAGGAGATTATGTCAGACGAAGAGTCTGAAACGAGTAAACCTAACAATGATACCGGAACCAGGAATTTTACTGATGAACAACAAGATAACAACGTAACATTCCAGGAACTTCTTAAGAAGTTAAAGCAAGCGATATACTCAAAAAGAGATTCCTTTTCTGCTAAAGTTAAGAATGTAATTAGATTATGCATAGAGTGGGTGATTCTTTGGGCAGTGGGTAATATCTCTCAGTGGCCGTTACTAAAGAGTATCTTTGATTTTGTTTTTGGTTGCAATAATGAATAAGCAGTCTAGAAGTAACCACTTAAATATTATTCAATGGAACTGTCAAAGTATTAGACCCAAACTTTTGTTATTTGAGCACTTTCTCGTTCAAGGAAAAATCCACATTGCAGTCCTTTGTGAGACTTGGTTACAGCCCGAAAGTGAACTTCGGCTTAGAGACTATAGTATTTTTCGTAATGATCGACTTGATGGATATGGAGGTGTAGCATTGGTAGTTCACAAGTCTTTAACGTCATCTAGTTTATCATCCACTTGCCACAACAGCGGGATACAGACACTTAAAATTAAATTATCTAACTGTAACGAACTCAACAATATCATCGCGCTTTACTGCCCTTCCTCAATTACAACTACTATTAATGATTGGAATTCTATTCTATCCTCAAACAGCGCCAAGACTTTAGTGCTTGGTGACTTCAACGGCCACCATACCATTTGGTCGTATAAAACTAACCTACGTGGTAATCAAATATTTGACTCCTTATTAGACAATAATTTTGTTATTTTAAATGACGGCAGCCCGACACGTATAAAGTTAGTCAACTCTGTGTTGCAAAAATCTTCACCCGATTTATCACTTGCATCGTCAGACATTGTGTGTATGGTTGACTGGGTAGTATTAAATGAGTCATTAGGTAGCGACCATCTTATAATTAAAATAAAATTTAACTCTCTATTACGTTTAAGGCGGCCGCAATCTAATCGTCGAAACTTTGGAACTGCGAATTGGCGATCATATACTAAAGACACACGAACTATGTTTGACAATTTTGCTATGACGGATGATCTCCAAGTAAATTACGACTTATTTGAAAAATATATCAACACAGCTGCGGATAAAAATATAAAATATTATAAAATTAACACTGGCCCTATAGAAAA